CCCCAAAACCCCAAAACCCCAAAACCCCAAAACCCCATCCAATATAATGCCGCTTGAAAGTGTTATAATGGAAATATTACTGTCTTTTATATAGTTGATAGCTCTTGATCTTCTCTTTGTTCCCAACTTTAGCCCTCTTGTGCTCATTATCCCCCATCTTTGAGAGATCAAAGTAGTACTCAGGGATATTATCCTTAGAAGTATCAGGGGAGCGTTCTTTCATGCTAGATTTTAGTCTTGTTACTTTGAATTCTTCCTTAGGCTCTTGGAATTCAAGAGATTTGAAGTCGACCTCATTCTGAGGATAGGGGTAAAAATTTATTCTATCATCAAAGTGCTGACCCTCCTGCACTTTGTTGCTTATTCTAGTACCAGAATGCTCTTTCTGAGGTTCTATAAATGATGACTAAGACATTACCTCTGTTTCTGTTATTGCCGAAGAACCCACTTCAACCACTCTCGGCAATCAGAGAGTTATTCTTACTAATATCACTATCGGTGGTAGGTTTCTTAGGGTAATGAGCTCTTGAGCTCTTTAAAGTGTGATTCACCTTCTTTATAATCTTTCTCATCTGCTGAAAGTTTGAAATAGTTTTCATTGGAGACTTGCTACTGTCATTGCCTGGAGAAGTAATCTTACTCATATTTTTCCTTAATCCACATGAAGTATGTAGCTCATTGGTCATAAAATTTTGTGAATAGATTTCTGATTTCTCCATTTTGGAATTTTTATACCTCTTTGTCTTATGATCAATACCATGGTTGGATGAGAAATTTGACTGGCTTTTTGACTTAAGATGCTTTCCTCTATCCTCACTTTTGCCAATACCCTGTCCCTTCTCTAACTTATAAACCTTCACTTTGGGTTTTCTTGGCTCATCACTAGTTCCATTAGGAGACTGATAAGTCTTAGGAACTTTTCTATGCTTACTTCCTCCTTGTGAACTAGACACATTTTCCAGGGAAGACTTTGGCCTTTTGGAATCAGCTCGCTTGTCTTTAGGAAGGACACTTTTACGGTAAGTATTGAGCTTCTTCTCTCTTCCATTCTTGTCGATTTCATATCTAGCCCCTAAATGATCTTTCTCTCTGTTAGTTTTGACATAATTCTTAATCATCTTATTTAGACAACTGTGCCTTCATGCTGGAAGTCGCTGCTGATAAGTTATTTGTAGATTTATTATGAGCACTTGCTGTTGAGTAAAGCTGGGATTTCCTAAGCTGTGTCTGGGATGAAGTATTACCAGAGTTACCAGCATTTCCTACATTCCCAAAGGTTCTTATACCTTGGTTATATTGATGCAATCCTTTGTACAGGTCATGCCTGAGACTTTTAGAATTAGCAGTAGCTAGTAAGCTTTTATTTTTAGACTTTCTTTCACTCTTCCGGTCATTCTTTTTACATTCAGTTTTCCTTTTCTTTGAGCTAGCCCCTCTAGCTTGGATTGGCATTGTTTTCTGCTTGTCCCAGTCATGCATCATTGCTAGCTCAGCATTTTCAGTCTCTGCTGGTTTTCCATGTCTCATTGTGGAATACGGGGATTGCTTTACTGGTCGGGTAACAGATGATCTTTTAGTATTCTGGGAGGTCTCTAAATTCGACACTCTATAGATAAACTCAAACTTTGTTTACTTCTTGGCCTGGCTCACTTTCTTTGACTGCTTGGTGCTAATATTTGAGGAGGCCGATCCATGTCTATGATGGCTTTTCTTTATATTTATGCCTGAAATATCTTGAGCTTTGCTTGCTCCATGGCTCTATATTTGAATTTATAAAGGTTGATTACGCTTGTAGATCTGGCGGACTCTGCTCGCTTAGCCCTCTCAATACTACTGTGGGGGATAGACTTAGCTGCAATTGTATTTCTCTCGATTTGCTTAGCCTGGTCATGGAGTAGTTTATGTAACCTCCTATTTTCATCAGCAATTCTTTTTATTTCTTTCTCGCTAAGAACTCTTATTTCTCTGATTTCAGATGATTTTCTCCTTTCGATGTCTCCAATGGAAGATTTTATAGTGTCAAGAGTAGTATTTAAACTAGTGATTTCTGAGTTTTTCTTAAGGATTTCTCTTTCTTTTTCTTCAACTTTACCTTGGAGAGACTCAATATGGAGCTTAAGTTGGTTCTGAATACGAATATGCTTGCGAATATCCCCTTCCAGTTTTTGGATTATCTCTTCATACTCCATGGGAGGCTCAAGAGTGAATGTTTGAAACGAGACAGTTGAACCCTTGCTGTGAGTCTCGTTCATATTTGATGTCAAAGTGTTTTCGTATTCATCTTTGAAAATATGCCTCATGTTATTTGGAATGAGACCCATTACAACTCCTTGGCACGATCGGAGGCTCAGGGTACGAACATGAAGATTCTGTATAGTGCTCCAGATTGTCCTCTATTAACACAGCATGCTTTTGATTAGCCTGATTCTTAGAATCAAGGATAGATATTAATATCTTCTTATGATCACTATCACTTTCTTTACTTTCTTCCATCATGGCTATTCTTTTTAAAACTTTCAAAAATAATTTAATAGTGGGGTTTTGGGGTTTTGGGGTTTTGGGGTTTTGGGG